TTGCTGGTTTTATGACGGTTTATGACATTAAACCGTCATAAAACCAGCAAACTGCTGATTTGACCTCTTTACTGAAAACGGTTAAATTATCTGTAAACTTTAACATGAAAGCCAAATAAAAGCAGGTTCTGGCGTTTCCATGGTAACCTCTTTAGTTCATGGTTAAACCAACAGGAAGCAACAAACTCCTCCTTCCTGTCCGTTCCACTTTCACCACAACCTCACTTCCTGTCATGCCCTGGAACAGGAAACGCATCAGGATACGAGACGCTGCTGGAGGTTTAAACTTTTACCCCTAGAGCAGGTGGAGGCAGAGTCATGCTGAGGGAAACAGGAGGATGGATGGAAAACTGGGAGAGAAACTAAAAGACAGATGGACGGTTGGTCCAGACAGAACCAGCAGCAGTGGAGAAAATATCAGCAACAACGAAGAAAAAAGAGGAATTATTTCTAATAAAACGTCCAGAAATAAAAATATGAATCTGACCTGAAGTGGAGAAAATCAGGCAGAATAAAATCTGCAGCTGGATTAACAACAAACCAGATCAGGAAACTGGGATGAACTGGACTTTCAGAGTAAAGGCTGAAAGTCAGAACCAAACCAAATCAATGGCCTCACATCAGTTTTTATTATTTTAGTGATTGAACTTAATAATAAAGTTTCCTACCAACATGGCGGTTTAACTGCCTTTCCATATAAATTTCCTCAAACAGAAACTAGAAGCAAAATGTAACTAAACGATCTGATAAACTAAAACGTTTCTCGCCTCTTTCTGCTTCCTGTCCTTTTATACTTTATTTTTCAACATAAATAAATTTACTTTATATTTTTGTTAGATTCTCTAGTTGTTTTTTTCCTCATTAGTTTCAGATTTACGGCTTTTCTTCTGTCCAGAGCCGTTTTCTGTGCGTGAGCGTTTGAGGGATCGGCTGGCAGCAGATTATAATCCAGCAGATTAATTTCTGAGCTCTGGGTCGGGTTTCTGCCTCTGCTGACCTACATCTGCTCTAATCTGCAGCAAGCCGCCCGTTCTCAGGGTTTTATTTCCCATCATGCCCCTCTGCAGCCACACCACGCACCAACCTTTGACTAGGCCCAAACATTCCTGCTCTCATCGTCTTAATCTGCAGCGGCTCGTTACGTTAATCTGCCGTTTGATTCATTAGTTCATATTTAATCGTTTCATCTCTCCTCATATTCGTCGTTTTTTCTAGAAAACAGTTTGAGCTGAAAGACGACCTCAGAAAAGATTAAATTTACCCATAATTCCCTGCAGCGCTCGGTTTGAATAATCGGGATTTAAATCTGAGCCTGGGGAAACTTTAGTAATTAGTATTATTTTAATCTTCTTATTTGATAAAGTAAAATGTGTTAAATTTACATCGTTACAGTAAAATAAAAACCGACTGGTTTGGTTCTGCTGTTTAATTCTGGTTCTGGTTCTGTTGGATCTTTATTGTCCGTCTGTTCTGGATCAGAACCTCTGTAGGATTTCTTCAGTTTGACTCTTTACGTTTTATTTATCTCATGTTTGGATCCGGTCAGTAAAGTTCTGTTTCCTTTTAGTTTAAGTTGAACTCATTGTTATTGTGACCTTTGACCTCTGTGTCTAAATCTGTGCTTTGGTTAGACCAGGATTTGCTGGTCCTGGTCCTGGTCCTGGTTCTGGATCAATGTGGGTGAACTGATCTGAACCGTCTCCTCCTGCAGGAAGTTCTGGCTCAGTAAGGAAGGAAGCCCGACCAGCCGGATCACCAGGGCCCGGTTCACCAACCAGAAACCCATCGACAAGCTGGAGTTCTCCGGGTTCAAGACCCGCTTCTGACCCGGTGGACTGGTTCTCCTCCTGCCTCTGGCAGAACTGGGAACGTTGAACCGACTCCAGCTGAGATCGGGTGGTTCTGATCCACTTCTGACCTGGTTTCTGTTTCTACCCAGAAAAAAAGTCAAATATCTGAGAGAAACCTGGAGCCGTTTTAACCGTCTGACATTAAACTCCATCATTAACTAAATTAATTTATCATTTTTTACTTGAACGTAGAGAAGCTAATTAACCTAACAGGATTTGGACAGTGGAACCAGAACCAGAACAGAACCGACTCAGACTCACACCTGCAGTTTCATCAATTTATTGAAAGAAACTGATTTGGAAACATGATGTTTTGCCTGATTTTATTTTTTGTTACTAATGTAAATTATTGTCATTTTGATCGTTAAAATATCAAAATTTCCATAAACTTGATATTTTATTCTGTCAGATGATGTAATTTTAAATATTAAATGATTGATCAGTTACTTCAGTAGAATATAATAAAAGTACTGATACTCTAACCGTAGGATGATGTTTAGTAAAAACCAGAGTTATATCAGAATAATTAATCAGGTTTAACTCTCAGCCTCCCAGCAGGAACAAACGGCGTCAGGCTGCAGGTCCCGCTGCGGCCGCCATCTTGGCTCCAGCCGCCATCTTGGCTCCAGCTCAGCAGCGGAGTCGCCGTCGCGTCACAGCAGATCACCTGACCGAGGATCTGCCATGTGATCCGGTTCGATCCCTGCTGGAGGGTCCAGTCAGCGGGTCGGAGCCGAAACCAGGAATTATTAATCTGAGCAGGTTTCGGATTACAGAGGAGCGGCTGGAGGCGGCAGCGCGGTCGCCATGGCAACCAGCATGCAGCCATTGACAGTGAGGAGCAGAGAGTGGGAGGTTCTGGTTCCTGCTTCCAGTTCAGTTTGAATGAACCCAGTTCAGCCAATAAGCTTCACTTTTATAAGTTCAGTTTTATTATTGTTTTATTGAGTCATAAGCTTCGTGTTTTTATTGCTGCTGTTTCATTTTAACCTGAAACTTTGGACATTTAAATTTGTTTCCTTGTTTCCATGAACTCATTTTTACTGATTATTGGAGCCTAAAACAGTTTTTATTATATTAGGTTATAAAGTTTCTGCAGCTGAAACTGAGTCCAAATATTTTCACATAAAAAATAAAAATAGATCAAATTTTGATCCCATTTCCGGTTCAGATGAGAACGTTCTGCAGGGCCGGATGCACCAGGATCTGGGCCCCGGGCTGCAGCCAGTTTGGTGCCCTGACCAACAGAGAAAATTTACTAATTTAAATCACAGGTAGTCCTTTTCGTCAGCAGGTATGAACTGATGCATGATGGGTAGCAAAGATCTCCATGTTGCCAAAGAAATCAACTGCACCTGTGTCATTTTAAATTAGCTGTATAATTTGTTTATATCCATAAAATTCAGCATATGATTTTTAAATAAAGGACAAAGAAAAAAAAGAGAACAATTCTGCCCCTCCAAACGTGACGCCCTGGGCTGCTGCCCCCTGAAAGCCTTTCTGAACAGCAGGGCGGCCATGTTGGATCCTACAATAATTTACTGATTTCAGTTTTTAAGACTTTTAGATAAAATCATAAATCTGAGCTGACTGGAAAGATTTCCTGCTTTTCCACTCAGTCGTGAACCAAACAAGCAGCTTGTGACGGCGCCCCCTGCTGGTTGGGAGGTTGTACAACAGGCTGGTTTAAATGCTTGTAGTTGTGAACAGAACCAGAACCTGTTGGATCCAGCTCCCCCTCCCCCACACGCTGCTGAAGGTGCAGAGAGTCGGCTCTTCATCCCTCTGGAGAATCTTCCTCCTCCTCTTCCTCTCCCAGCAACCGTGTTTGGCATCCCATAGTGGTCGCCGTGGAAACGCTGCTCAGTCAGACAGAGTTTGTTAGAGAAACAGCAGAAGAAAAAGACTCGTCTCTCTGGCCCACACAGGGCGGCGTGTTCGACCCAACGGGCCGGTTCTGGTCCAGATGTTCTGACCTGTAGAACCAGGATCAGCTCAGCTCTCCATCTGCAGACTGAAGGTTCTGATGGTTCTGAAGGTCGTCCCGGTTTGACACCCAGCCAGCAGAACTCCTGTGTTCAGTTCTGTTTCTGGTTCAGGTTCAGGCTCTGGTTCTGGATCAGGCTCTGGTTCTGGATCAGGCTCTGGTTCTGGCTCTGGTTCAGGTTCAGTTTCTGGCTCTGGTTCTGGATCAGGCTCTGGTTCTGGATCAGGCTCTGGTTCTGGCTCTGGTTCAGGCTCTGGATCAGGCTCTGGTTCAGGTTC